AAAGATCAACTCGAGAAGATAAAACCAAATGCTATAATAAAATATGCAAAGATTTAGAGTTAGAAAACCAAAAGGGAAGAACACGGTCAGCATTTCTCAAACTGGGGGAACTGAAGAAAAAATTCAAGCCTCGGCTTTCATTATTGAAAGATTCTCTGGGCAGTCATACTGCAGTTATTGTTTTTTATTTTTCCTGCTGGTCTTTTTTTCAAGGAGTATCTTTTGTTCTTCTAACCACTCCAGGCTGGTTTGCTTGTCCTTTCAAGTGGAGATTTCCCACCTCAGAAGATTCTGGATGTGGTTCAGGATTTCACCTATAGTCTTATGCAATGCAAAGGCTCCACATGAAGCCTCCTTCACTGGGCACCTTGTAGCCCATGTTAGGTATTCCAATCAGTTATAGGCTGAAGATGGGTTTACAAGCTTTCTATATTGCTGTTTCTGGCTATCCTTTTCTCTCCCCCTCAAGTGTCTATCTTACAATGGTATGCAAGGGAAATGAAGATTCAAAAGACAGCCAAGCATCTTAACATTATTTCCCCTCTTTTACCCATTCCAACCATGCCCCAATCCCTGTATCCCAGAGCCCTATTTTTCCAAGGTTGTGCATACATCATTGTTTACCTCTGTCCCACCTAGCTCATGCAAACCTGCCTAACCATTGTCCCATCTGCTTTGTTCTTCCATTCCCCTCCCGCTTCTTGTGTATTGCTCCCCCCCACCTCCAGCACCCAAGCTATCCTGTGTCTATTCCTAACCCTGAGCTTTACCTTTCCCTCCCTCCCTTCATTCCATCCCACACATCCCAGTAAATAGCAAAGAATTCCCCCCCCCTTTTAATGTGGGTTCTTTTTCTTAGTCTTTTACCATAATGGTCCTATGCAATATTTCTCCTTTTGTGACTAATTTCACTCAGCATAATGTCCTCAAGGTTCATCCTTGTTATGCGGTGGCTTGTAGCTTCCTTGTTATTCTTCAAGGTAGCATAATATCCCATTGTGTATATGTACCACAGTTTGTTTATCCATTCTTCCATTAATGGCCACTTAGGCTGTCTCCATCTTTTTGCTATTATAAATAATGTTGCTATGAACATTGGTGTACATATATCTAGTTGTGTTATGGCTCATATTTCTTGTGACACCATATACTTTTAATGTAAGATTGAGTCCAAACATTTTAGTGAGAAAAAACAAATACCAAAGAAGCTACAGTTTCTTAGGAAGAAACCTATGTATTCTAAATTTCTTCTCCAGAATTTTACTAAACATGAATGTGCTTTAATGTGTTCATTTCTAGGAGCTGGAAACATCTGAACCTACCAAGCCAAATATAAAAACTCTTGCATTATCACTATCATCATATTTTACCAAAGAAGAATGTCACTGTTTGTGGGTTCCCAGCAGGATAAAAAGAGAAACAGCTAATTAGACATTAGACTGCCCGCTGAACGGCATGACGGCAACGGCTGCAGTGGAGACACCAAAAATGAAGAAGAGTGCCTCCAAAGAAGAGAAACAGCAGCCTAAGCAGGACAGCACTGAGCAGGGCAATGCTGACTCTGAAGAGTTGACAAGCTCCGATAGTGACTCTGAACAAATGAGCTTAAAGAGCAGTGACAACAACAATAACAGCTGCCCACTTCAGGATGGTCAGTTGAAGAAAAAGGAGATGCCCTCCAAACCACACCGCCAGCTCTGTCGATCACCCTGCCTGGATCGTCCAAGTTTTTCCCAGAGCAGCATCCTAAAAGATGGGAAACTTGACCTAGAAAAGGAATACCAAGCCAAAATGGACTTTGCTCTAAAACTGGGCTACACAGAGGAACAGATTCAATCAGTGCTGAACAAGCTGGGCCCAGAATCACTGATTAATGATGTATTGGCAGAGCTTGTCAGACTTGGGAACAAAGGTGATTCAGAGGGGCAGGTCAGTTTGAGTCTGTTGGTACCTCATTGCCCCAGTTCCAGAGAGACCTCATGTCCTGAACTATCTCTTGAAGATGAAATAGATAGTAGTGATAATTTGAGACCAGTTGTCATTGATGGAAGTAATGTGGCAATGAGGTAAGTCTGGCATATTTTTTTCTCTTTTTAAAATAACTTCCCTAATCACATGGAAATTATGTTTCTTTGCAAAATGCCTTAAGATTCCCTTGATTGTTGTCTGTGACTTGTGCTTTTGTACATGGACAGAGATTAAAATAATCCTGCCCTTGATTTATCTTTGAAGCTCTTGCCAGATTGTTTTCAGGTATTTTGAAAGCATCTTCAATATCAGTGATGCTTCCAAAATGACCCCTTGTGGCACAGTAGTTTAAGCAATGGACTGCTAAGCCAAAAGATAGGTTGTTCAAACTTACCAGTCTGTCCATAGGAGAAAGATGAGGTATAATCTACTTCCAAGATTTACCACCTTGGAAACCACATGGTGATGGTGGTGGTTATGTGCCATGGAGTCGGTTCTGATTCATAGCAACCCTGTATAGGGCTTCTGAGGCTGTAAATGTTTACAGGAGCTGAAAACGTCATCTTTCCCCATGGACCCAGTGGTAGTTTTGACCATGAGATTAGCAGCCCGACTAGTACACTACCACAGCTCCTTTGGAAACTACCTGAGACAGTTCTATTCGCTCCTATGGGGTCTCTATGAGTTGGGATCAACTCAGTGGCAGTGGATTTGGCTTTGGCTTCCAAGGTGACATAACAATTCAGCGTTAGCTTCTCTTCTATACTTACTTGGCTAGTCTAATCATCCTGCAATTCTGCTTTTCATATCATTTGTGGTATTACTTAGAGACATGCAGTAACTCCCAGTTGCTATTCTGCCAGCTGGTGTGGTGCTGTAGGACAAACACTTGACTGCTAACCACTAGGTCAATGATTCAAGCCCACCACTTGCTACTTGGAAACTCCATACAGGGTTACTGTTAGTCAGAACAAGACACTTAACAACAACCTAACTTCAAGGCTCTTTGTGATCCAAACTTTCCCTCCTCCCATGTAATCACATTTTCCACCCTTATTACATTGTGTCACTCTTTAACAGTCTCCATGTAAATTATGTTGTTCATGTTGTTTCCCAACCTAGAAAATATGTTATCTTAGTAGACTTTAAGATGCATCACCTCCACAAAGACCTCCTTGATTTTACTGATCTCATTGATTATGTCTGAATTTCAGTACCTGTGGGAGGTTGAGTAATTGCCCCCTCCCTCAAATATGTCCCCAGAAACCTTATTTGTTTACCTTACATAGTAAAAGGGACTTTGCAGATATGATTAAGGTAATGATTTGGAAATGTGGAATACTAGCTTGGATTATATAGGTGAGCTCAGTGTAATCACAGACACATAACATCAGAGTCAGTAGTTAAAGAGTAATATACAAGAGGTTATATTATACAAATGTGCAAACGAGATCATGAGCCAAAGAATGTGGGCAGCCTCTCAAAGCTGAATAAAGCAAGGAAAAGAAGAAATGCAGCCTTATCAACACCTTAATTTTAGACTTCTGACGTCCAGAATTATAAAAGAATAATATTTTTTGTTACTTTAAGCCACTACATTTGTGGTAATTTGTTACAGCAGTAATAGGAAACCAGCACAGTACCAGTAGAACCTTCATACTTTATTCCATACTCTATTTTTTTTTTCTTTATTTCATGTCAGTTAGCCTTCTTTTAAATCATTGAGTTGCCTTGGTTTAAATATTTCCCATGATCAGAAGCTTGCTCCCTGTTGCTTGATGGAGTCAATGGAATCACTAGTCTGTAAGCAATCGGAATATAAAAAAAAGCCTTAAACTAACCAGGCTTTAATTTGATTATCCCACTGTCTTTGAGGACAGGGACTTTGTTTTATGCCTCTCTTATATCCCCAGAAGGAGCCTGCTAGCACTGTGGGCTAAGTTTTGGGCTACTTACCGGCAGTTTTGCAGTTCAAACTCACTAGCCACTCCATGGGTGAAAGATGAGGCTGTCCACTCCCATGTGGATTTACACTCTCAGAAACCCTAAAGAGCAGTTCTACTTTGTCTTATATAGGGTCATTATGAGTCAGAAATCAGCTTGATTGCAGTGGATTTGGGGTTTATTTCCCCACAGCACATAATATACTTTTATGTGCTCCCACTGAGACACCAGGAAGCAGGAGTTAGGACAAGCCTATGAACCATAACTTTTCTGATACACAGGAGTTGCCTAGCAAGCTATCTGGAGATATATTTTAATATACTCTGATTAGCAACCCTCTCCATGCCTTGGCAGGTAGAAGCCAATTCTGTACAAAGCTGCTCTGTGACTCAGGAGGGTCAAGGTCAAGAGGGGAGCAGTGTAACACTAAAATGGGGAACTGGATGCTTTGAATCTTTAGGAAACTAGCTCTTGTTGCTTGGATTTACACTGTGCAAAAAAAAAAAAAGTGGCGCCACCATCCCTCATCACAACATTCTCTACTCATCTGGGTTTGATCATTAATTGCAGTGGCCACACAGCATATTTACCTTTAAAGATTTATTAGGGAAGTTAACAGGTTACAATGCAGGATCACAAAATGCTCACAGCACAGTTCTTAATCAGGATAGTCTCTCTTCTGCCATGCCACATGCAGGGCTCTCTCTGCTGGAGCAGTATTATAAAGCTTTTTTAGCGGAACTGATAAATGCCCAGAGTACATACCACTCCACCATAAGCCTCAGTCAGAAGACACTAGGCTCTAATTCCGTGTGTCAGAAAACCTACCCTTCCCCTACCCTAATTAAGTGCCAGAAGCACATCACTCTGTAAGCAAGCCTCTTGCCCAACGTCACTCAGCTTTACTTGTTCTATGGCCTGGGTAGCCCACAGCTCTGCCTCATTCTCTGGCTCTTAGTTCTGTTGCTGTAGCCCCTTTGTCACTCTTCCATAGTCACAACTTTCTGTCCCTGGGATGAAGAGATTCAGTGTGCAAGAATCTCTGGGCCCAAAAAATGTGCTCTACTCCTGGCTCTTCTTCTTTGGTAGTAATGCGATCTCCCATCCTGCTTCTGAGTTGGCTTTTTTTTTTAAGTCCAGCAGGATAGTAACACTGACCAATGCCATCATTAGATTTCTAATTACAGTCTTGTTAACAATCACTCACAAGTAAATCATATATTCCAGCTACATCTTCCCCCACATTCTTCTACCCAGACCTATCAGGTAAAAGTTGTTTGATGGGAATTTACAAAGACTATGGCTAGAAAACACATTAAATATTTCACTACAAAACACAGTGTTAGTTAGGAAAATTATTTATATGCAAGACAAGATTTTCACTGTGTCACAGAGAAAATTAAATCTACTGCCTCTCACAAGGCAAAGGATAAAGAAAAGAGACATTTTTTTTTTAAATGACATATACGTATATATGAGTGTATATAATATATATATAGCAGAGAGTCCTATTGTGGTGCTGTAGGAGAAGCATTGGACAGCTAACCACAAATTCGGTGGTTCAAATCCATCAGCCTCTCCTAAAATACCCTATGCCAGGTTGCTACGAGTCGGGATGGACTCAATAGCACTTAACAACAACATACACACACACACACAGACACATACATGCATGTATGTAAGGCACTCTAGTAGCGTTGTGATTACATGTGGGGCTGCTAAGCTCATGATCAGTAGTTTGAAACTACCAGCGATTCCGCAGGAGAAAGATGAGGCTTTCTGCCCCCATAAAGATTTATAGCCTCAAAAACCCTATACAAGGTCGCCGAGTCTGAACCAACTCCACTGCACATAACCACCATGTGTGTGTGTCTGTATTCCTGTTTCCACCACTTGTTTGCCAATTTGTCATATTCTGGTGCCTTGTGAGTTGCTATGACACTGGAAGCTAGGCCACTGATATTTGAAATAACAGCAACTTCACAAATGGTGGACAAGTTTCAGCAGAGATTCCAAAATAAGACAGACTAGGAAGAAGGAAAGGCAGACTGCTTCTGAATGTTTAACCACTGAAAATTTTATGAAATAGTGGAAGAACATTGCAAGATATCATACCACACGATGAAAACATTATTAATAGCCCCAGAATATTGTCAGATATCATGCCAGAATATGAGCCCCTCAGGTTGGAAGGTATTCAAAATATGATTGGGCAAAAGCTGCCTCCACAAAGTAGAGTTGTCCATGATTATGCAAATGGAGTAAAGCTTTCGGGACCTTCCTTTGCTGATGGGGCACAGCTCAAAATGAGGAGAAACAGCTGCAACTATCCACTAATAATCAGAACATGTAATGTGTGAATTATAAATCTAGGGAAATTGGGAGATGTCAAAAATGAAATGGAACACATAAAGATTGATATCATAGGCATTAGTGAGCTGAAATGGACTGGTGATGACCATTTTGAATCTGACAGTCATTTACAGATTCAAGAGGAATGGTGAAGTGTATTCATCCTCAAAAAGAACATTTCAAGATCTATTTTGAAGTATAGTGCTGTGATAGGATAATATCCAAACACCTACAAGGAAGACTAGTTAATAATGCTATTATTCAAATTTATACACCATCACTAAACTTGTTGTTGTTGCTGTTAGGTGCCATCGAGTTGGTACCAACTCATAGTGACCCAATGCACAACAGAATGAAACACTGCCCGATCCTGGGCCAACCTCACAATTGTTGCCACGCTTGAGCCCACTGAGGCTGTCACTTTGCCAATCCATCTCGTTGGAGGTCTTCCTCTTTTTCTCTGACCCTCCACCTTACCAAACATGATATCCATCTCCAGTGACTGGTCCCTCCTGACAATATGTCCAAAGTATGGGAGATAAAATTTGGCCATCCTGGCCTCCAAAAGGAGCACTCTGGTTGCACTTCTTCCAACACAAATTTGTTGGTTCTATGGGCAACCCATAGCACTTTCAATATTCTCCTCTAACACCATAACTCAAAAGCATCAATTCTTCTACGGTCTTCCTTATTCATGGTCCAGCTTTTGCATGCATATGAGGTTATTGAAAATACCATGACTTGGGTCAGGTGCACCTTAGTCCTCAACCTGACATCTTTGATCTTCAACACTTTAAAAAGG